TACAATGATCCTAACTTCCTTATGTGGCCATGTGACATCAAGGACTCAAAGATGAAGAGTGAGTAAGAAGGACTACATATCTTTGACACGGAAGCCTTCCGTTTGCCCTTTCCACGGCAGCTGTGGACAGTGAGGTCCTCGTGTGATGATATGCAATGCGCCATGCAGAGTGGGCATCATGCAGAGTTCCAGGAAAGGCACCTCCAAGAGGCCTGTAAGGAGCGGAGTGTTTGAACAGACTTCAAAAGCTACGATTGCCAGTGGTAAATCCAGGGAGAGTACATTCAGGGAGCAGAACACTCAGTCTCCAAGTCCAAGGGTGTGGAAGTATATGGTCACAGGTGGCAGGTTGCTCATGCCACAGTAGAGTGCAGTGGGGTTGGAATGTGGGAGAACACAACACCTAAGCTGGCCAGGTAAACAGACCGGAGTACCAGAGCCTGCCAGCCACATACCAGGCTTTCTACCCCGGGATGGCACTGACCTTTGGAGCCACATTCTTTTTTGTTTGGAGGTGCCTGTCACTGTCCTGTGCTTGAGAGATGCTGAGCAGCCAACCTGGCCTCTGCCCACTGGTACCAAGAGCAACTGCACCAACAGTGGAGGCAACCTAGCATGTCTCTCAACTGCTCAGTGCCCCATGGGGAAGCTGCCCAAAGCAGTTAATGGAGGCAGTGAGGATAGCAACGGCCTAGGGTCCTGTCAGGAGCAATTCCTGTAGTGAGCAAAGACAAAAGACAGGAAAAGACAAACAGGAGGCTCTCTGAATCAAGGGGCTGAAGAGATGCTTGGGCAATAAAGTTCTTACTGTAGATGCATGAAGACCCAAGTACAACCCCGAACCCCCACGTAAAAATGTTTGGCATCCAACTAACCAGCAGAATCGAGTGATAAATTCCAGGTCAGTGAGAGACTCTGCCTCAAAGAAATCTGGGAAAGGATAGAGGAAGACACCTGACATTGACCTCTGACCTCTTCACACAAGCACACATGCATACACAGAAACACACACACACTACAAGCATGGCGGTGTGCATACTTTTAATTCCAGACTTTCAGATGCATGGACAGGAGAATTCCTGGGATGGGAGTATTGCTGGCCAGCCTAACCTACTTGGTGAGCTCCAGGCCAATGAGAGACCTGAGAATAATACCCAAGGTTGTCTTCTGACCTGCACACACACACACACATACACACACACACACACACAGAGAGAGAGAGAGAGAGAGAGAGAGAGAGAGAGAGAGAGAGAGGAGAGAGAGAGAGAGAGAGAACCAAGATCGAGGATGTCCATTTTAAAGGGGAGGGAAGGAAGCCCTACTCTTCATGGCAATTAGAGATAAAGGTCATTGCCCAAAAGGCCAGGAGAAAAGGTGAAGGTGGGTACCAGTCTATCCCAAAGTGAGTGACACTTGGAGAGCCCATGGCAGGCCATCTATGGACCTGGCCTCCTTGTAGGAATTATACGTTTAGCCCAGGCTGGCACAGACACTGGCTGTCTCCTGGAAGCAACCGTAGTTACACGATGGAGCTGATTCTGAGAGTCCCCTCCTACTTCTCTCTCCACACAAACACTGAATTTGGGAGGAGGGCACATCCGTGCAGCCATTGTCCTGAAGCACCTTGTCCCTCGAGACTGCCCCAGCCTCTGCTGTCTTTGGATCTTCGATCTCAGCTTCCACCTGGGTCCTTGCTCTCCTGAGCGACCAGCTGTAGACTGTGTCTCTGGACATGCCCTCCTCGTGTTTATGACTTGCTAAGCTGTCTCAAAGGTCTCAGGGAAAACCCTTCACCTTGTTATTATAATAAAAAATAGTGAGAGTCAAGTGGAGAAATACACAGGGGAGAGTTCACAAGGGTCCAGGGCACGGGAGTTTCTGTCCCCATGGAGTTAGGGGACCATCCCCTCCCAGCCTGTGACTGTGCTCGCCAACCAAAAGACCATCACATCTTCTTGTCCATGACACATTGTAGGCGCCATCTGTTGCTCTGCCCAGCCTTCCTTGGACGTTTGGGAGCAAGGATAAAGGTCCTAGCCCTCAACTGTGCTTTCCCATGCCTGGCTCCATCCCGAGGCTAGGACCCTCAACTGTGCTTTCCCATGCCTGGCTCCATCCCGAGGCGAGGACGGCCCACTTAAGCCATGTCACCTATTGCCATCTTTACTGTGAACTGAGACATCTAAAGGAACCCAGCGTGACCCCCGAGAAAACACAAGGTGTCAGTTCAGTGATGGAAACAGGGGACAAGTACCAAACACATCCATAATTCCAATCGTAGCTTCTCGAGATCCTCTGAGATGTGTTTCAGGACCCACAGGGGATCCCTGAAGCCATAGATGAATAGCGCACATGACGTGGACGAACTAGAGGAAGGGTTTACGTCGGTGGGTAGCCTATACAGCATGGATACACTGGAGAAAGATGCTCTCTGCTAGTGGGTGGCATACTCTGCAGGGATGCTCTGTACCCTAGTCTGGTGCATGTCCAGGGTAGGGAAGAGTGAGCTGGCACAAGACTTCATTGCCATACTCAGCGTGGCAAGCAATTTAATCTTGTGACTTATTTACTTCCGGAAATCTTCATTTAATATCTACAGTAGACCATGGATGGTTGAAGAGTTATGAAAAACAAAACTCTGGGTGATGATGGATTATTGTATACCATTTTGATATAAAAAATCATTAATAATGAATCAGACGGAATAAGGGTGGTGTAAAATGAGAAGGAAGGAGGGCTAATGAGTGGGGCTTGGAAAGCAAGGGAGCTGAGGCCCAGGCAGAGTCAGGCCAGGGCTTGTCCCTGAGCTCCACTAGAACCTGTGCTAGGATGAGGTGCCTTTCACAACCAGTGTCTGGTGCCAGTCCCTCAGCCACCTCCTCCTCAGTCTCAGGAAGACCTGAGTTGCTGCTCGCTGGTCTCCCCAAGACACAGAGCCTTCTCTCTAAACACCGTCCAGTTTCCTCTTGATTTGGAGTCTCGCTCCCCAAACTACTCCTAGTAGGTGGGAATCACATGTAACAGGGAGGTCGCAAAAACCTCAGTCAACAATCACATCTGCATTCTTCCTCCCAGCTGCAGACTGGGCAGGGTGTCATGCCAGAAGGGTGTGGGGACAGGTGTCATCCCTGGGCCAAACCAAATCAAGTTGATAACCTACTGATGACTTCTCTTTGAGTAAGAAGCAGCATCAGTAATACAGTGCTCAGGGGTCTAAAGAACCTTTTTTTGCTCCCTCAGTGAGCCTCTTGGTGGGTGTCTAGGAGGGAGTAACGGAAGCTCTTCCTCTCCAAACCCCAAAGACTCGCCAGCATGTTTACCACAGGGAGACACAGAAAAGACCCTTGGGCCCCAGACCTCCATCCCACCCATCACTCCACCCCATCACTGCAGGTATAGGAAGCAAAATCAGTAGACTGGTACCATGGTGTAGACAGGTACCATGGTGTAGACAGGCACTATGGTGTTTAGCAATGTGATGAAAATGAAGTCAATTTTCTGGTATGACTTTGACGACTAAGAACCTTGAACTACGGGGGCAGGGTAACATTCTTCGGAAGGAAGGACGGATCGGGCTGCTGGCTGGTGAACAGCTTCACAAAGCTCCAGGGCATCAGGGACAGATATTTCTGTACTGACGGCTCCGGAGCCAGCAATACCCAGCAACAATAACTTCACATATCTTCATCGAGGCTGAGCCCCTCTCAGCAGCCCTTAAAGCATTTACCTCCCCAGAAACCACTCAAAGTACTAAATATTAAAAGAAAATAAAAATCCCAGGTACCAGAAATTGCACTTAGCAACTATCAACCGTATTATTTCCTTCCATCGAATGCATTTTTCTATTTTTAAAAATATAAACGGCTTTGGCTATTTAAAAAAAAACACTTATCCACCCTCCTAAATGACTCTGATTTTTATTTGTTTTTCACAGTTGAACAAACTAGGTACAAAAATGAAGCAGTAATTCTAAGTAGCTCCTTAAGCATGGAGAGTTTCTTCCACCTGTCATTTTAAATCGCACATTGTTCAGGCGGGAGGCACAGGATGGGGGGAACTGGGTGAGCAGAAGTGGGAAGCTCTACCTGAAACCCAAGCCAAGGGGTTCGTCCACCTCACCTGGCGCATCTCTGAATAGAGCCGCATGCCATCTGCTCCTGCCCCCTCACTTCTCAGTCACTCAGTCACGCATGTCATCCATAATTATTAGGTAGGTATAGGGAGGAAATCACTGACGGAGCCTAACGAGCGCCTCACCCTCAGGTGCCTACAGACTAGAAGTCAAACACATTAACTAGATGGCTTCATTGACTCATTCCCCAATAACCTTTGAACCTCTGTTATCCAGAGGCGCTGCCGAGGGCCATCATGGAGACAGGCCGGACCTGGCATTCAGTGGCTGACTCTCTGGTGGGAGGTAAGCAGATAAACAAGATGATCTCAGAGTGATAATTGCTGGGAAGTATGTTAGAGGAAGTTGTGATGGAGGCACAGGAGGGCATGGGCATCTCGGAGGGGTGGTGATGGGGATGACCTATGACCCCGGGGCCATTTGCCTGGGCAGCTGGCTCCTGCTCCACCCCAGTCGAGGTCTCCATGCTCCGACTGTTCCCGTGAAGGGTCGGGGGTGGGGGGACATTGGTCACTGCTTGGTGGATGAGCAGGCAGCCTGTCCTACCCAGGGTCACGACCAGGGCTGGCAAGGAGAATGCATACGGTGCTGATAGAGACCCACACACCTTTAGCCTGGTGCAAATGGTGGGGCTAAGTCTCAGACAGCAGCAGGGAAGTGTGCGCCTGTGAACGCTGCCAGGCTCGGGCCACTTCCAAAGAACCCGCCAAAGGCAAACAGGACTGCTGCCAAGGCTCGCGCCTGCGCAGGACGGCTCCCGCCCGCCGATCTCCGCGCTAGCGAGCTCTGCGCCGGGCGCGAGGGGCGGGGCCTGAGTGCGCTGCGCCGAGAAGGCGGGGCCTGCCGGCTCCGGAGGCGGAGCCTAGCCCGGCTCGGCGAGGCCGCCGGACGGCACTTCCGGGCGTCCCAGCGCTGGGCCCGACGGCGCCTGCGCGGTGCGAGGCCGGCCGGCCGGGACGGGGCGGGGCTGGTGAACTTCTGTGCCTCCTCGTCCCGGGACGCCGCGGGACACCGGGAGGGCGGCTGGCACCATGAAGATCTGGACTTCCGAGCACGTCTTTGAGTGAGTGTGGGAGCTGCTACCGGCTCCGGCGCCATCGGGGAGCTCTCTGGCATCGGGTGTGGCAGAACGAGCGGGGCTGACCCCGGGACCGGGGACCGCCAAGGTCACGACCCCAAGCCTAGCTAGGACTTCGGTGACCCCGGGCAGGGGCCCTGCGCCACTGACGGAAGACAGGAACTGGCCGTCGGGCATGACCCGGAAGTGACTCCAGGGGTCGCAGAGCGCTAGGTCCCGCCGGCCTCGTGGTGGCCTGGGGTGTTCGGAGCTCCGACCACCTCGGTAGCCTGGAGTGACCTGACGGAACCCCGACGGCTTACGGTGCCCTGACGGAGCCCCGACGGCTTACAGTGGCCTGGGGTGTCCTGACTGAGCCCCGACGGCCTCACGGTGGCCTGGGGTGTCCTGACTGAGCTCCCGCCCCCTCCATTGCATGAACCTCCCACGGACAGCCAGGCAGCCGTCCATCTAGGTGGAGTTTCTTCTGGTGAATTCAGTTCACACCACCATGGTGCCAAACCTTGGTGACAGTCAGCCTGAGGAACAGCCAGAGATCCGGGACCAGGCCTTGCTCTTCCGGATAGTTTGTGACCGTAGTTTTCAATATCTGTGAGCCATGACAATTGACCAGATAGCCAGTCTGCCATCACATCCGGTCATAGCTTTATGGTTCTCTGAACTTGTACTGGAAAACAGGACCGGAGTCTGTTGGGTGTTGGGAAAGACACCACCCAGGTTCACAGTGCCACATACAAGATAAACAAATGGTTAACCCTTGTTCCAGCAGTATTCTTCGTTGACTGACATAAAACATCCCCTTGTCGGAATTATTGTTGACTTAGCCTTTGAGTCCATTTCTGGGTGATCTGTTGCCACACCGTTGTAATAGTATAGCTTTGTGGTGTGTTTAATCCAGGTGTGTCAGCACTGTTATGAGGGCTATTTTAAAAGAAGAGTGGGCCCAAGGCCTTTGAGGGCTCACTGTGTGCCCCATAAGGACAGTGCACTGGAGTTAGAAGGGACTCTCTCTCACTTCTGGGACTGGAGTCCCCGGGGTGCTTTTTAACCTGGTCACAGCCTTTGGTAGTCTGTTCAGAAGGGATTCTACAACCCAGTCCTCTGCTGGATCTGAGGGCTTCGAAGTTGCTGCCCAGTCCCATGCTTAGAACTTATCCTCCCTTCTGGTCCTCCACATTCTTCCCTCAGCTTGTCTCCTCTGCCCTCTCCTGCCCTAGGACCCGTTCCTCCCCGTTTCCTGCCAGGACTTGTGTTCAGTGAAATCTGGTCACTGGACTTGAGGTCTTTTCATCCATGAGCTTAGTCTTCTTCTATCACAGACCTCTAAGACTAGGGAACACTCCAGGGGCTGTGTCTGAGAAGATAGATCCGCAAATAAACGCTGTCCATGCCCCGGTAGGAGACCGAGGATGCCGTCTCTCCAGAGAGGTTGAGCCAACCAATCAAAGTCCCAACCCATACACACTTAGGGCACCCAAACCTGTATCTCAAGCAGGATCTGCCGCATGCCCATAGCCCTTACATTGCCGAGTCTGAGGCTAGACTGAGCATAGAGCCACAGTGTGCGCTGGGCAGCCGGACTGCTTAGCAAGGTGGAGTCTCAGAAAACAGGATTTCAAGATGGAGTTAGCCTCCTGAATTACAGTCCCAGTGTCTCACTACCGTTTTCAGGCTTCCATCTTGTGAACGATGCTCTCTCAAGCAGGACCCCAAGTCATTCTTCATCCGTACATCTTGGATTTTTCAGGCATTTCTGAGACGTGGCATATTGTTAACACCCAGTGTGGCGTCGCTTGCTGAGTCTTCCAGCTTCTGTGTGTGCCAGTTCCAGGGATGAGAATGGCCAGACTCTCAGCTCCATGTCGGTGCTCTGTGAACATCTACTAGGGTCTTTTTCACAGAATCATGCTTTGTCGTGAAGCTAAAACTAATTGCTGGAGCACTAGTGATCACTGGGTGCCCTTGGCCAGCAGTGATGTTTAGAGTTCGCCTAGAGAGCACAGACGGGGCAGTCCCGGTAAAGCAGAGAACTCCCCCACCCCCCGGACTGCTTATGAATTTTTCAGAAAGGGAGGGAGAAAAGGTCAGTGCATGGATGAGAGAGCAAAGAGGGCCTCATCTGATCTTCATTTGAGATCGTTGTCTCCGTGATAGTCAGAGGGCTTGGCCAAATCATTGCCATTGGGCTGCTTAGATTATGAAGCTTCCACTTAGATATCTGCATTGACTGTGGAATAGGGCTTAAGGGTAAATAGAAATCCAGGCTTGTTCATAGGATACTTTTGACTAAATGAGAACATTAAAAAGCATGTCACTGGTTGTCTGTGGTTCTGGAGGGTTTTCTTCTGTTGACAGGTGTGGTTGTCAGTCCGGGTTCTCCACAAGGTTGAAGTGATTAGTGCCCACCTGCTTTGCTTTTAGATAACAAGAGCACTGTGGTTTGTGTTCGTGGGCATAGCTTGAAGTCCATCTCCAGAAAGCAAGGACACAGATAATAATACAGAAAGGGGTGGGGTCAGACTGCAGGTGGACCAGCCAGCTGTGTGTTTCCTGAGAGTGAGTGCCTTGTGTACCCAGAGGGCAGGTGTGAGTGTGGCGCATTTTGAATGGGTATGTGGCCTTTTTGCTAAAGTAAAGAAGCTGCAGGTTCTCAACCACTGGAGTGATGGGCAGGTGCTCATGCTAAGTCATTAGGCCTTGGCATTTCCTCCCAGTGACCTTTGCAGAGCTGAAGCCAGACTTAGAGGAAAGTCGCGCGCGTGCGTGCGTGCGTGCGTGCGTGTGTGTGTGTGTGTGTGTGTGATGCCCAAGGACGGATGTTAAGACAATGCTTGATCAGCCAGTGTCCCCACGCGCCTTTACTCCCAGCATCCGGGAGGCAGAGGCGGGCAAATCTCTGAGGTCCAGGACAGCCAGGGCGTTGATTCTCGGCTGTGACTGAGGAAGGATTGCTGTGAGAGGCATGCTCCTTAAGGCTTTGCTTCATGGGCGTCTGCTATGCCGTGCGGTCTGTTTCCGCAGACACTGACGTCTGTACGCATTTAAAAACCGTCACCACTCATGTCTCCAGAAGTTACTTCCCAGCATAAACTCGTCTCATCCTAAAGCACAGCCTCTGTGGTAAAAGAATGGCTTACCCCATCCGCCATTTTACGTGTTTGGTTTTTGGTTTGTCTGCAGCCACCCATGGGAAATGGTTACCACGGCTGCAATGCAGAAATACCCAAACCCCATGAATCCAAGCGTGGTTGGCGTTGACGTGTTGGACAGACATGTCGATCCCTCTGGAAAGCTGCACAGCCACAGGCTCCTCAGCACAGAGTGGGGCCTGCCTTCCATTGTGAAGTCTGTAAGTATGCCCTGCCTGGGGCCGTGCACTAGGCTCTTCTACCGTCTTTCTGTTCTGCTGCCGCGTGGGATTTTGCATAGGTTGGAATTACATCCTAAAGGTTGGGATGTGTTGGATTAGAAAGACTGCTCAGCCTCCTAAGGTACCATGGCTGGAGGGAGCTGGCTCAGTGGAGAAGGGAGTTACATCTTTTGCTGCAGCCTGAGGCTTATTGTGGAATTTACAATGGTTGGGTCCTCGCTATGAGGTGACATTGGGCCCTTGTGGGTTGTGCCCATATTGAATGACAAGAGCTCTGTTTGGACTGCTACTTCACATTCAGGCCGTGGTCTGGTACTTTCTCAGAAGTGGTTCTGTTTCCATGACAAACCACCAAGCTTTAGTGAGCTGATAGAGCCAGTGAGAAACTAGGATGCCAGCTGGTCACGATACAACTGGGGGTTTAGACCCAGGCTTCTGTATTGGGTCTCTCTATTTAGAGCAGGAAGGAGCCTGCTTTCCACCACAGCAGAGGAGGGTGAGCTTGGGACGCAGCCATGGAGGGGTTCTGGTTATGGATGGACCCCCTCAGCTGTGAGGCCTGCTTTCTTATCTAGCCAGTGCGGCGGGGGGCGGGGGGATTCTTCCTGGCCTTCGTGAGACACTTGAGTGAACTCTACTAGATAGGTCTTCTGACTGCCAGGTGTCCCCTTCCGTGCCCCAGCATCACCCCATGGCGAATATGACATCGCAGCTCAACAAGCTGTCCCTGATTGCTTCTGTGGAAGGTTCTTAGTAGGCGTATGACAGTCTTGCTTCCTCTGTGTGCGAGTCCCTGTTAGCTTGTAGTTGACACATTTGTGCCTTCAAGAGGAAGCTGAAGATGCTTGACTGAAGCTCTAACTCTAGTGTCGCCCGTAGCTCATTGGTACAGCAAGGACGAAAACCTACGTGCAGGAGCATTCTGTCGTTGACCCGGTAAGGAAGACCATGGAGCTCAGGTCCGCCAACGTGAGTCCTACCTCTTCGTTTCCATTCCTCTCCCTCTGACCTGAGGCTTCCTTTCTTACACATGAAATAGGCATGAGGATATACTATCAAAAGGAGTGCCTGGCTGGGCGTTGTGGTGTGTCCTGTAACCTAGCTTCTTTGGGGGGGGGGGGGGCAGGAGAATTACAAATTGCATTCAAGGCCGTTTGGGGCAACATAGGAAGAGACTCCCTTATTTCGTGTGTGTGTGTGTGTGTGTGTGTGTGTGTGTACATATATATATAGTTTTTGTTCTATTCTTTTTTCAAGATAGGGTTTCTCTTTATAGCCCTGGCTGTCCTGGAACTCACTCTGTAGACCAGGCTGACCTTGAACTCAGAGGTCCTCCTGCCTCTGCTCAGGGAATAAAGGCACGTGCCACCAACAGCCAGCTTGCTTGTTTATTTATTTATTTATTTGCTTATTTATTTAAAAGGCTAGGGGTGTGGTAGAGCACTAGCCTAGCATGCCCGTGAGCTGAAGTTCAATCCCCTGGTATTGCAGAGTTAAAAATAAATAAATAATAATGAAGAAGGAAAGGTGCTGCATGCTCCCTAACCCTGCAGTTCCTAAATTCATTTTCTGTTTTTACATGTGTGTGGGGGGGGGGGGGCATGGCATACTCAGGAGACCTTGTGAAGGGGGTCGGGGCGGCTTGCCTTGGGAGTCCGCTCTCTCCTGCCAGGAGGTAGAGCTACTGGGGTTGAGCTCAGGTCGTCAGACTTAGGGGAGACACTTGTCTTTGCTTGTGCAGCCACCTCCCTGCCCAAATAAGGTTTGGTGAAATTTAAATAGGGAAATTTAAATTGTACTTAGCCAAGATAGTTTATCTGTAAGTTTTTTTTTGCTTTGTGTGCTTAGCGAATAAGAATTGGGGTTGTGTGTTGACTTTAGAAATTTTTCTAGTATTGGTTTTCGAAGTGGCTTGACTTTTTCCTCGTCCTGTAGATCTCATTTACAAATATGGTCTCAGTCGACGAGAGGCTCACATACAAGCCGCACCCCCAGCACCCAGAGAAGTAAGTAAAGCTGCATGGTGGCCTGGCTCCATCAGGCTCTTTTGCTTCTTGGTGGGTTGCTCTTTGAAAACCAAGCATGAGTCATCTAAGACTGTGGGTTGTTTTGCCAGAACTGTCCTGACCCAGGAAGCTATCATCACCGTGAAAGGGGTCAGCCTCAGCAGCTATCTTGAAGGACTCATGGCAAGCACCATATCGTCCAACGCTAACAAAGTAAGTGGGCCGGGCACCTCTCCTCAGCAAAGTTTGTGCTGAATGCAGCTCTCCACCAAGCTGGCTGGTCCACTCTGTAGGGAGAGGCAGAATAATGGGCAGTGATTTGTGTGGCTCTGGAGTCCTGTACACCTTTGCTCCCACACCAGCATTGCTAGCAGCCCAGGGGACTGTAGACATGCGTGGGTGGTGAGCAGCCGTGTGTCTGCTCAAAGTGCTGGTCCTCCACAAGTTTTGTTATGCCCATGAGTTCTAGACGTTTTGACTTCTGTTACCTTCATGATGAAATTGTCTGATGCACATGCCACGTGTACATAAAATAGCACCACTGGGAATCACCCCCATGTTAAAACAGTAAGTTTAGTGGGAAAGATGCCTAACCCATTATGTAACAGTCCAAACTGTGCTGGAACTAGCTCTGTAGACCAGGCTGGCCTTGAACTTGAACTCAGGGATCCATCTGCCTCCCAAGTGCTGGGATTAAAGGCATGCCCCACCACTGCCCAGCTAACGCGTTAACACATTTCATAAAGTCATTGTGTCAGTGCTTACTCGATGTGCAGGCCACAGGACACAGGAAGGCAGCAGTAATCACACAGCAGTCGCTAGGAAAGGAAAAGTAGAAGCAGGCCTTAGTGTGTAATGAGTGTTTGGTAATTGATGTTTTTGCCAAGTGCTGAGAGGGAAGGAGTTGGTGCAGGGGTGTCCAGGAAAAGCATTCAGGCGGGGGAGCTACACGTGCAAAGGCCCTAACCAGGAAGCGGGAGTGCTCCTCCTTCACCCCTCAAGACACTGTAGAGCCTGAGGAAGGAAGGGGGGAGGGAGGGAGGGAGGGAGGGAGGGAGGAGGATCAAGGACCAGATCCTGGGGTGTGCACGTTAGGGTTACAGTGTTGCTACAGAAAGCAAAGGGGCTTGAGCGCCCCAGTCCCAGTCAGTGGACACCTTCTGCACACAAGATAAAAGTGGCTTCTGTGCAGGCCAATTGCTCGAGGCATTTATTGTTTGGTAAATAATAACTGAAAAGGCCAGGACGAGAGATCTGTCCCTGAGGTTCAGTGAGCCTGTAACCCCTTATCCTGGCCGCTGTTTCCTGTATACATACCTTTGCCCTTGCTAACAGTAAATCCATTGCACTTTTTAAGGGCCGGGAAGCAATGGAATGGGTGATCCATAAACTGAACGCCGAGATAGAAGAATTGACAGCATCAGCCAGAGGAAGCATAAGGACCCCAATGGCGGCCGCAGCAGCGTTGGTGGAAAAATGACAATGGAAATTGGTGTGCAGCTGCAGGGCCCAGGACTCTTCAAGCTGACATCATATTTATTTGTTATTTAAAAGAATATAGCTACTTTAGGTAGATTTTATTATTTTTTTTTTTTAATGAGCTGGGGAAAGGCTGTGACTTTTGATCAAAACAAAAGATGGAGAGGGTCTGAGTCAAAGTGATCGCCTGAGGGGAAGGGATGAGGGGCTGGCTGGAGTCTTGTGTTCACGTGGACAGTTAACAGGCTTGTTTGTTGTTGTTTAAGTGCTTAGAAGAAATAGATGTTGGTCTCAAGTCTCCTTAGGTATAGAATCTTAGCCTTTCAGGTACTGAAGCCCTGCGTGGCTGTGGACCAACCAGCACAAAGGCCGGCTGCCCTCGAGTGCACACAGTTGCCCGACGCGGTGAACTAGAACCTCCTGCATGAGGAACTCACTTTAAAAAGAGACATTGTGTAATTTCAAATGACATTAATTTGTATAAAATAACTTGCCCTGCTGGAAACCAGTGTTTGGATTTGGTATTTAAATGATATTTTTGGAGTGAAAATTAACACTAAGGTAATATGACTCCAGCAAAAATGGTATTTTATTGTATTAACGGGTACTGTATTGATTTGCCAAAGTTTTGTGACTTAGTAAAGGCATTCCCTTCCTCGCATTTGCACTTTGTGATCTCTCACGCTGGGCTGCGGGCTGGGTACGGTAACTGGCAAATGAAGTGACAGCTGAGCATCGCATCACAGACAGCGCAGCTGCTCACATCTGCTGACCTTATCCATCGCCACCATCGACACCATGCTCCTGTCATCGCTGAGGCATGAGATGTCAGGTTGTTTGGGTGTGATTACTTTGGGGCTAATTATGACCACAAAGCATCTTTTTTATGGGAAAAGAGCTCCCCGTCATTTGGGACGACTCAGATGTCACCTGGATCATCGGTGCTTTCTTCTTCCCTCCGGGTGTTGGGTACGGGGGGGGGGGGGGGGGGGGGGTGACACGGACGGACAGTGCCCTGAGGAACCTCTACAAGATTGCAGTTGGTTGGGGTGCCAGAGGACTGCAGAGCAGCCCGGGACTGTCAATCACTGCTGTTTGCTCTGATACTGCAGTATTGTCGGAGGGGTTGCCTTTTGCCTTTTATGGGATGGGCTTCTACTTGGTTTTCTTAGAGAGACCGGTTAACATGCATACAAAACCACAGAGACTGTTTTAAATGGCTCTAAAATTCCTGCTTTTCTACTTCAAAACATTCCTTAGCTTAAATTTTCTTGAGACGTTTATAAAAGTAGGTTACATCTAATGAAAGGGGTTTTCGTTTTGTTTTGTTTTAACGAAGCTACTTTTAACGTCCCAGCTAAACAAAACACTGCTCTGTATTACTCTTTGACAAAGTTTCGGGTGGAGTCACACCCGAAAGGGTCTGATATACTAGTGACTATTTAAACTCTAGTTTAAAGGGATGTAAATCTTGGTTTGCCACACAGTTCTTAGATGGCTGTCTAAGCACAAACGCAGGGCCAGCCAAGTTGGGAGGCCTCGGTCCTGCCCCGTGGAGAAGGCCCCGCCCTCTGCCACCGCACCTGGGAAGGTGACCGGGACGCGGCGGCCTCACTTTCCCAGGTGTCCGCGCGCGCGACCGTGGTTTCCGGAGGCCGTTTGGCCAATGAGCGGGCGGCACCGGCTCTCCCATTGGCTCCCGGCTGCGGCGAGGGCGGGATGAGGCGGTGACTGGCGGGCCCGCACCCCGCCTTTTCCGGTACTCCGGCGGCCTGACCTTTCTGCAGCCGGTCCCGGCTGAAGCGACTCTGAAGCGACCCCGCGGCTCTGCCCGACACGTCCCACTCGCGACACCATGGTGGCGTACTGGCGGCAGGCTGGACTCAGGTATGCCCGGACGGCGTTGGGGAGGCCCGGCCCGCCCTCAGCAGGCCGCGCGCGATGGCCAAGCCACGCGGCCACCTGCCAAGATGGCGTCGCCGTGGACAAGGCACGCCGCGGGGTCACGGGGTCATGGCCCCACACAGGTGACCTTTCCCCAGTCTGCAGAGCTGTGCAGAGCTGTGCTGAGCCCCTGTGAGCAGCCACCCCTGTGACACTTGGTCTCCCCTCCCAGAAGGTCATACTCCAGGCCGTGGCCCAGTGCCCCGACAGAGGTGGGCCCGCCGTAGGTGCCTCATGTTGAGCCATCTCCCACGGCATCCGCACAGCTGCACACTGCACACCTTCCTCCTCCCAGCCCCTTGCAGGCCAGGTGTGAACGCCTTCAGATAACTGACCATAAAAGCACTGTTTTAGTTCAAAAGTTTGTTTCTAAATAATTAAACGACTTAAATACAGCAACAAGCTGGGGAATCATGCATGTGAGAGCTATGTTCACATTTTGCTCTGTTTCCTACACTGGGACTTTTAAAAAAGTCCTTCATTTTAACTCAATGTGAAAACATACACTGCCAAGAAGAAAACTTAGGACCTCCCAGTCAGATGCCAGCCAATCTGGGGCACAGTTCTGACTGTCTCCTTCGTATAGATCACTTTTGGTGTCGCTCAGTTTTCAATCCAATTTTACCATAGTAACCAACCAAAAGTAAGAGTATGGGAAGAAAACCAAGATGTCTCCCGTAAGGCCAGCACTGCCCAGCTGTTGGTAACGAGCCTTTCATATTCTCTCTTGCTTTGCTAGCTACATCCGCTTCTCCCAGATCTGTGCGAAAGCAGTGAGGGATGCCCTGAAGACCGAGTTCAAAGCTAACGCCGAGAAGACGTCCGGCAGCAGCATAAAGATTGTGAAGGTGAAGAAGGAGTAGCCGGTGAGTGGCTGGATGGCTTGTGAGAGTCGCCTGGTCGGGTTCACCGGAACTCGCTTTGGTTCGCGGCTCTGCCCCGACACTGGCGACTGCAGCCCTGAGAGGGCTCATGGCATGATGAAAGAGTGCCCCGGACAGCCCCGACAAGCAGAATAATTGGCACATTGATTTTCAGTGCAGTTAGCATCCTCAGATAGAAAGCCATCTTATTTTAATTAAACCTGGTTCATCTATCTGCACACAATCAAATAACTGGAGGGTAAGCTCCCCCCATTGTGATTGCTCTTGGAGTTAGGTAACCGACTGGGAACCTGAGAAATGGCAGTTCTTTGCCTGTTCCTTCCCCCACCGCTGCTGTGCCCGCACACACCTGCAGGCAGGGTCCTGCTGGCTTATTGAGCAGGAAGAGCTGGCAGCCCTGGGTGAGCCCTGTCCTGCGTTCAGAGCCTGGCTCGTTTTACCTGTGCAGCGCTGTGGGGAAATGTCAAGGTGCAGTCTTGTGCCAAGCTGAGTCATTGAGTTCAGGCCACGGTTCTCCAGACTACTTTATTTACATTGTTATTGTAAAGCTAAGCAAGGCCAGTTATCAGAGAGATGTTCTTCAGATTTCATTTGCTTTGCAGCCCGCAGCATCCGTCTGTGTTCCACAGCCTATGCCACGAGCAGCTGGCCTGATTGAAACTCCCTGCCCTAAGCACTTTTCATTTCATCTTGAATTAACAAATATTTTATTGAAAACCAGGGAGTGGGGGTGCAGTGTTTTGAATTGAGCCCCTTTTCTTGGTTCAGTCTAATCAGAATCTGGACCTGTAAAACCTTGGTTTTGGTAGACTGTTGATTCTCCACAGTGAGCTGAATCAGAACAGCCCCTCACCTGCCTGTGGGCACGCTGCCCGTCAGTGGCTGACCCCAGTGACTTTGTCCGAGCCTTGGGGTCAGAGAGTCAGGTCTGGCTCCTGAAAAAAAAATGTGTGGTCTCTATCTTGATGTCTTACTGCAGGGAGGACCCCAGTCTGCTGGCCTGGGGGATGGGGAGCTATAGGACAAAGTTGTTTCTGTCACAGTAGAGATGATTTACTCAAGGACAGGCAGCCCAGGCCTAGGGTCACTCCAGCTGTGCCGCAGCTGACACAGCAGGTTCCAGTCAGGGTGGGTGTGAGGCAGACACGGCAAACTAGCAACTGTTGCGTTTTCTTGTCTCCGTAGGCACTGGCTGAAGCAGGAACTGCTGAGTCGTCACGGTGAAGACGTGGGTACCTGCTATGGCAGATTGAAATCACCCTCACCTCCTGGGGACAAAACTGCCCTTGTTGATAAATTGACTATGCCAATAAAATGACATGGTTCATGTCTGCTGGATTTCGCTTCTGTTGTACATTTTTAAATAGGAACTTTGCACAGAGTAATGTGAGTGTGACCGTGTGAACCATGACCTGTATGCGGCTGCTGTGGTAGCACTGCTTAATTCTATCAAAGTGTCATGATTTATGAAAATGTGACACCATCGTGGAGGTTGTGTTTTCCCTAGTCTCTGAATCGCGTTCACGGTAAACCAAGGCTCTGGGTGGTTCCGGGTAGCCCAACCGAAACAATTAGAACAGCATTAGAGGAACAAACTGTATGACTCACCTCGCTTCACACAGACCTGGAGAGGAGTCATTAACACTAGACTTTATCCAGACAAAACGCTTTTCACCTTTTATTACTTTCTGGGTGCATTTGTCACCGGAAATGAGGCAGAGCCGATCAATACCTTGTGTCCTGTGTTGACGGCTGAGGTTCAATTAAAACTTATGATTATTTATTTATTTGGTTTTTTGGGACAGAGTTTCTCTGTAGCTTTGGAACCTGTCCTGGAACTAGCTCTAGTAGACCAGGCTGGCCTTGAACTCAGAGATCCTCCTGCCTCTTCCTCCAGAGTGCTAGGATTAAAGGCATGCACCACCACCACCCAGCTAAAACCAGTTTGGACACAGTGGGTAGGGCAGTCCGATCACCTCACTTCACAGTGGGTAGGGCAGTCTGACCACGTCTGAATGGACATTGATTATCAGTTAAGTGTTTAGGAACAAAAGACTTTGGTTTTGGCTTTCTTTAAAACGTGAACCCTCTGCCGGGTGGTGGTGGTGGTACACGCCTTTAATCCCATCACTCTGGAGGAAGAGGCAGGAGGATCACTGAGTTCAAGGCCAGCCTGGTCTTTAAGAGCTAGTTCCAGGACAGCCAGAGCTACACCAAGAAACCGTGTCTCAAAAAAAAAAAAAAAAATAATAATGACCTGGACCCTCTTAGGCTCTTGAGTAGAGCTACTGCAAAGTTGACCACACACTGTTACTTTCTAAAGCGCGGAGAAATAGCTAGAATCCGAGCTTCAGGTCCCGTGAGGCTGAAGACAGACACACACTTCCCCTGTGGGTTTCAGTGGACTCTCAGCACGGGGTGCTTAAGGAGGGACATTAACCGAATGGACGGTAGTGGTCCTGAAAGGTTAGGAGCCATGGCATCTGCTGAAGTCCTGATATTAAGAACTTGCAGCGTTTAGCTGACCACTTTCTCTGAGATTAAGGCCCCAAGAAGCAGCTCCTGTACCCAGCGGTGGGATAGCTGACTCGTGGGCCATAGGATAACCAGGCTGACTAATAAGCAAAGAGCTAAAGGATTTCCAGCTTTGTAAATAATTTATTCAGGGAGCCATTAGTTGGGGTGACTAGAGATGAGACTTGGGGCAAGGATTGAAGTAACCAAATGACTGTTCGTCAAAGATCCTGAGAGTCTGATCTAGTAAGATTAAGTACTAAGGCAACACGGATAAACTCAGGTCCAGCACCTTGGGGTGACAGGACAACTCGACAAGTGATGGGGTCTGTAACCAGTGGTGTCAGAGCAGAGGGATCCAGGGAGCTTTGAAGTCTTCCGACTCCTGATTTCAGCTACACAGATGTCACCGTGGCAACCATACCACTGAAGAGACCCAGTGTCCCTGGGCTTTTCGTCAGTTGGCACTGTAATCTTGTGCCGTTAGAACAGTCAGGTGAGACACATCAGCCTGAGTGGTCAAACTCCAAGGGAAGGGCTTTGCTGAGTCAGAGATGAAATGACTTGGTCATTTAAAATGGAATTTATTCGCACTTCAATGACTTAGTGAACAAGTATAAACGGTCATAAATTTTAAAAAAAAAAAGTTAGAATTGAGGCCTCTTTTTGCATCTGTGGGATCACCTTCCACAGGCTAGAATGAAGGCATCCCGGTAAGCATGCAGCTGACTCCTGCAGAGTGGTGGGCTGTAAGCCTTGTTAGCATCTAAGGAAGAATGGGGAGGTGCAGCTCTCACTAACGCTTGTGCTTCTCAATCCATACCAAAGTGGAAAGTATTTAAAATAAACAGGAGCCTGGTCAGTCACACCAACAATGGGGCCTGATTGCTCTCGCTGTGAACTGTAATTATTTCTTCCCGGTGCCTAAGTGAAGAGACTGCCGCCCACCTGCCAATTCAGTATTGGTTATAAACAGGCCCCAGAGAGTAGCTGGTGACAAGGCCCTAGGTTCCATCCCCAGCACCATAGGGATAAACCAAGACACTAGGACCCACTTTCATGCAAACAATTCCCTTTGGAGAGGTCAAAGAGCTCCTCCATGACAGCTGCAGACCACTGAGACCCCACGCACCTCGGACCTAGGTAGACTACAGCCGAGAGGTTACGGAAGGCTGCCTGGGCTCCTGTGTGTTCAGTCCTGTCGTGATGTGAGATTACAGCTGCAGTGGTTAAAGCTGTGTCATCCTGCAAATGTCCATGGCAACTTCTGCAAATTAATCTGAACTATAAAGTTCCCTAATGAGCCCATGTCCCCTGTCACCAAGGAGGGCACTGCGGCATTGCGGCTGCGTTCCTGCATCCAAATGGTTGCCGGGCATGCCTCGTGCCCTTTCCCAGAGAATGGAGAGGCGGAACAGGAGCTGCAGGGGTGACTGCTGAGGGAAATAAAGAGCATCTACGGACAGCCGTTGGGAGGAAAACCAGGACAGTCATTAGTGAACACTGGCGTCTAGTTCTAACGAGAAACACAGAGAAATGCGTTGAGAGCCAGTTACTGGGAGACCAGGGTCCGAGGATGAGAATGCTTTGTTTTCCCTAGGCTTTTGGACGGCGGGAGCTGAGAGGAGAAGCATGGCTTCTCTGGCTTCCCTTTGTCTTCTTCCAGCCAGTGCTGAGGAGCACATAAGGGCTACACAGTGCAGTCATGGAGGTGGGCTCACTTCCCTTGGCCCTGAGCCTCCTGCACACTCTTCAGACACCAGGTCTTGCTGGGTTTGGGAAAGGGGGACTCAGAGCTGCCCTGGTTATCGGGTACCCAACAACGCTGCTAAAGGGTTGGAGAGGGACCATCCGCTGCAAAGGACTCCTGGCAAGCTTCATCTGGGGGGTCTACCTATAGCTACCAAAAAACAAACGGGCTCACTACAGTCAATTCGCTTGCACAATCACGTAATGACGTAGTGGCTGCCAAAGGCCCTGCCACTCCCAACCATCACTACACCACCTACACCTGTTGTCCCTCCCCTTGGCAAGGGAAGGACAGGCTCCAAGGGCTTCAGGACAGCCACAGATCTTTGGAGAAATTACAGAAAATGGCTGCCCTGTAGCCTCTCTCCTGGCTAATGTTCCTTATCTTCTGCCTCCATTTCTGCCTCCTCTTCCGCCCTGTCCTCTTCGCTCTCCTCCTGCCCTGCTTTGACGTCTTGAAATTGTTGGTACTCAGATACCAGGTCATGGATATCACTCTCAGCTTCCCCAAATTCACTTATGTCCATCCCTTCGCTGGTGTACCAGTGCACAAAAGCTTTCCTTCTGAACATGGCCGAGAAGTGCTCGGAGACCCTGGTGAAGAGCTCCTGGATGGCTGTATTGTTACCCAGGAAGGTAGCTGCCATGTTCAGCCCGCGGGGTGGGATGTCACACACAGCCACCTTGACGTTGTTGGGAATCCATTCCACGAAGCAGCTGCTGTTCCTCGTCTGCACGGACAGCAGCTGTTGGTCTACTTCCTTAGTGGACATCTTACCCCGGAAGATGCAAGCCACAGTCAAGTAGCGACCGCGGCGAGGGTCACAGGCGGCCATGATGTTGCGGGCATCAAACATCTGTTGGGTGAGCTCAGCCACCGAGAGGGCTCGGTACTGCTGACTGCCCTGGGCCGTGAGTGGAGCGAAGCCTGGCATGAAGAAGTGGAGACGAGGAAAGGGCACCATATTCACCGCCAGCTTGCGCAGGTCCGCGTTGAGCTGGCCGGGAAACCGTAGCGAGGTGGTGATGCCACTCATGGTCAAGGACACCAGGTGGTTGAGGTCGCCGTAGGTGGGTGTCGTCAGCCTCAGGGTGCGGAAGCAAATGTCGTAGAGTGCCTCGTTGTCGATGCAGAAACAGGCATCTGTGTTCTCAATCAGCTGGTGGATGGACAGGGCGGCATTGTAGGGCTCTACCACCGTGTCGGACACCTTGGGGGACGGCATGACGCTAAAGGAGTTAAGGATCCGGTCTGGGTATTCCTCCCTGATCTTGTTCATGAGCAAGGTGCCCATGCCTGAGCCGGTGCCCCCACCCAGAGAGTGCACGATCTGGAAACCCTGCAGGCAGTCGCAGCTCTCGCTCTCCCGCCTCACCACATCCAGGACGCTCTCGATCAGCTCTGCTCCCTCGGTGTAGTGGCCCTTGGCCCAGTTGTTACCAGCTCCTGAGTTACCTAGGACCCGGAGAGAAGAGCGGGAGGGGGAAAGATGAGGTGAGCAGGGCGCCACCACAAGGCATCCTCAGCTCTTCCTGGTAGAAGCTTCTGGGAACACCCCCCCCCCAAAAAAAAAAAAAACCACTAAGCAAACAAACAAAAAAACCTACCATGAACAAAATTATCAGGCTGAAAGAGGGCTCCTAATCTGCTGGATCGGATGCTGTCCATCGTCCCAGGTTCCAGGTCCACAAGGACAGCTCGGGGCACATACTTTTTACCTGTGCAGATTAGTAGGAACAGCTCAGCACATGGCGGTTTTTCTAAAAGTTGATGTTTACTCAAAATGGATCCTTGGGGCACTGACCAAAAACCATGAGTATTCTAGAAGAAGGCCTTTGGTAGGTAGACAGTTTTTTCCTTCTTTTTTTTTTCTTAAAAAAAAAATTATTTAAAAGTTTTTTTTTTCATTTTATATACTAACCACAGTTCCCCCTCCCTCCTCTCTTCCCACTCCTCTCCCTGTCATCCCTCAAGGCAACCCCCCATCCACTCCTCAGAAAGGGTAAGGCCTCCCATGAGAAGTCTGGTAGGTAGACATTTTAATATCTATACCTGATCATACCTGACCCAGACTACCATGACACAGATCTGTAAAAATAGCTTTTTTTAAAGCTCTGCTTCTCTTATTACTGTGTCTCACTAAGAACATGGATTCCCACTCTTCCTGAGGGGAATGACTGGCTAGCATGGGTGATTGCACCCCCATTCTGCCCCTTGCACTGGAGTGGGGCACCCGCTAACTAGACTCTGTGACCCTGCCTATCTGCCAATTCCATGTTGGGACTTCAGTCTTTCACACTTGGGCCATTTCCTCTGCCCGTGCTCCCCAGATGATAGGCCGGCCCAGCAGCCAGCCCTACCTACCGTAGGCTTCATTGTAGTAAACGCTGATCCGCTCCAGTTGCAGGGCGGAGGCCCCACAGTAGCCCCCAGCAGGGTCAATCCCATGTTCTTCTCCGATCACCTCCCAGAACTGTAAGCAGAAGGAGAGAAATTAGCTCAGAGACCTGGGGAAGGAAGAGCCATTGGGGCAGCTCAGCCAACAGAGGGGCCCACCGCCAAGCCTTAGGACCTGAGTTCAGTCCCTGGAACCTTGTGGAATGAGAGAACAGCCCGCCCCCGTGTCTGCACTCCGTGCGCTATTACCCAGTTCGCGAGCTTCAGGCTAGGGGGCTGGAGGTTAAAATACACAAACACACACAGACAGAGAGACAGAGACACGGGTCATCCTTGAATTCCCCAAGAATGCCCCCTTTATTGTGTTCAGGGGCAGATTATATAGAGATAGCCACGCCCCAGCCAAACCCACCAGAAACCACTCTCCTGCCATCAGGAACTCCTAAAGGTCTCGTGCTCAGAGCAGCTGTAGGCACTCAGATCAGGGGAAAACAAGTTGTTTACAAGAAATTCAGGATCTGGGGTCTCACTGCTCCCAACAAGAACCAATCACAAACTACCACACACACACACTGACTACCACACACACACCATGGCCTGTGTACTCTCTCTTGCACGTGCACACGTGCCCACACACACACACACAAATACACACAAATAAATAAATAGATGGAATAAGAAAAAGTCCAATAGAAAGGGTGGGATGGCTCCCGTGAAGATGCTGCTGCTCTGGGCACTGCCTGACCCTGCCCAACACTTCCTTCTTGCTCTTCCTCTCCTTACCTCCGCTAAGTGTGACTATGAAGGCTGTGCTTTAGATCTCTCTAAACTCCTGGAGTGAAATGTCAAGCACACGAAATTGGATTTTGCTATTAACCCCAGTGCATTACAGCTGGTCCTTTTAGAATCTCACTTCAGATGAGGGAGCTTAAACTTCCCCTTGCCTTGGTCTGACCCGGAGAAGTGCCGATCCAGGAAATGAAAACAAACTGAGTTCTTATTTCATTTCACAATGGTGCTCCTTTCACTTTGGGGATTTTTTCTTTCCATGAACTTCACTTCAGAAGTCCATAACCAGGGCCTGACTGCACAACCTGACAATAGAATTTGACCATCCGACAGACTCCTTATTCAGAATTATGTGTAGCTGATGTCTTGGAGCTGTTTGGAACATCCTATGGACCCCTGCATACAGCATTTGAGATACAGTCTTACTCAGTAGACCAGGCTGGCCTCAAACTCACAGATCCGCTTGCCTGTGCCTCCTAAATGCTGGGATTAAAAGTATGCACCATCACCCCCTGCTGAGAACATCATTTTATCACATTCATTCATTCATTCATTCATTCATGTGTGTACGCATGTTTGTTGATGTGTGCAGAAGCAATCAGTGGTTGTCAATTTTCTCTACCATGTGGGCCCTGGGAATGTAACTCAGGCCATCCGGCTTGACGGCAAGCCCCTTTACCCGCTGCACCATCTTGCCTGCCCACAGCATTTATTAATACAGAGAAGATTACTGGAATGGTCTCATTAGACCATTCTGAAAAGCTCTCACATTAAAGTGCAATGAAAACACCTTCCCTTGAGTCTAAATCTCCAGGGTATTTTCCCAAGCCGACTTTGTAAGCGGCACATCTGCCTCAGCTACGCTCTTAACAGAACAACACCGGGCTCTAAGGGGCTGTGAAGAGTAGAAGAACCAGTAGGAAGATGTTCTGAGATGGCCCAGAGGAGCCGTGTCTTGCCACTGTGTGTCTGTGCTCATGATTGTGCCTACATGTGCCTGCAGGTGGACACACGCTGCGTGGACATGCGTGTGGAGGCCAGAGGTCGAGATCTGGCGGCTCCCTCACTCTTCGCCTTAAAGACAGGCTGTTTGTTGAGTCAGAAACTCATTGACCTTGATCAGGCTGTCCAAAGAGCTGACTGCCTCTGCCTCCCCCGAGCAGGGAGTTGCACACACAACTCTCGATGTGCACATTTGGGACCAAAATTCATGTCTTCTTGTTTCCATGGCAAGAGCTTTTCCAGTTAAGAGATCTCTTCAGCCTAGAACATTCCCTAACATTCCTATAGGCCCAATGCAAAGTCATGGCCAGGACTCCAGCCACCAGATGGCACAATCCCGAAGGCAGCAGGAGCAGCTGATCCCTATCCTTCCCGAACTTCCTCCCCAGGGCCTCTCTCCACCCTATCATCTAAGGTCAGAGCTGTGTCCCTGAGCCCTCCCCACCCCACTTCTCTATTGGTTAAGACACTCTGACTCAGTGACAGTGTTTGCCCCAGACTCAAAGACCTTCCATTCAAGGCGACCCAGCTCTAGCTTCCCTGGGTGTTCCTTCACCTGAAGGCCTCCACGCCAACACAGCACAGAGACACTTGCTCATCCTTGTAGACTGTGGCAATGTTTATGGCAGCTGAGTAATGGGACCAACCGGCCAGTCCCCGAGTAGAGTGTTGGACAGAGGAAATGTGGCTATACACAGCGGGATTTTCTTTTCAACCACAAAGAACAAAGTTTTATCATCTTCTGGAAAATGGTCGAAACTAGAGACCGTTGTATTAAGAGGACTAAGGTAGTCTCCAAAAGCAAGTCTTGCATGTTTTCTCTCATTGCTGTGTCTTGGAGTTTATATAGTCATATAAAATCAGGCATGTATACATAAGATACTGACTGGGGGAATAAGGGATAAATGGGGTAGGGGTAAAGGAAGATACTCAAGAAACAATATAAATCTGAATAAAAATGTAAAAGTAGATAAATAAAATTAGGAAAACCAAAACCAAAAGAGCCTTCTCCAGTGTTCCACAGCTGTGTTCCATACGGTAGCCGGCAAGGTCCATCCCTCGGCTAAACACTACACATTGCTCAGCTCAAAATGAAGGGGACCCCAAGACTGCTGTCATATGGAAGGGCACACATGCACAAAGACCTGAAGGGCAGCTGTCAGGGAAGGGAACAAGACAAGAGCGAAGTCAAGTTTCAACAGGGCAGAGTTTCCGTTTTACAAGCCGAAAGGTATTTTGAAGGTTACACAATATACACAATATGACTGAATTTGCATGCAAAAAATGGCAAAGAAGGAAAATTTTCATAACATATGTCTTACCACACCCAAAGGTTTTTCTTTTTAAAGCTCCATTATGTTTCATTATAATAAAATAGTAGGATAATGAGTAGAGTACTATGGCTTCACCTGTTCTTTCAGTATAATATATAATATATATAATATAATTAGGATAATGAGTAGAGTACTATGGCTTCACCTGTTCTTTCAGTATAATATATAATATATATAATATAATTAGGATAATGAGTAGAGTACTATGGCTTCACCTGTTCTTTCAGTATAATATATAATATATATAATATAATTAGGATAATGAGTAGAGTACTATGGCTTCACCTGTTCTTTCAGTATAATATATAATATATATAATATAATTAGGATAATGAGTAGAGTACTATGGCTTCACCTGTTCTTTCAGTATAATATATAATATATATAATATAATTAGGATAATGAGTAGAATACTATGGCTTCACCTGTTCTTACAGCAGGTGGGTACCTGGGGGATTCCCCGCTTTTGCAATGTGTTATTTATACTGATTTGTTTGTTGGTTCTGTGGGTGGGGGGCACACATTACCATAGCACACAAGTAGGGGTCAGAGTGCAGCTCGTAGGAATCGGTTCTCTTTCTATCACAGGGGTCTCGAGGATCGAACTCAGATCATCAGGCTTGGCAGCAACCGTCTTTACCCACTGGCCACCTTGCTGGCCGCTGGTCCCACTTTTGACTATTGTTAGTGATACTGCTCGGAAGGAACAAAGGCCCTTCATGGCAGTGGCTTTAAACACATGATTCATACACATGAAAGTAATTTCAAAGAAACACAGGGAGCTCTCTCCATAGGTGCTACAGATCTCTTGTTGATCTTAAAATTAGGAGTGGCAGTCCTGACTGCCAGAGCCTGCCTTCCTGGTGTCTCCAAGGGAAGGAGTCAAGACCCTCACTCAGAGTAGCGCAGGAGGATGTGGGGGTTGAGAGGGAAACTCATTTACATGCCAGAATATTTTAATCACTTCTCTCTGTGTTTGCCTCTTTACTTTTCTATTGCGTCCTAAGTTTTCTTTGTAACATTAGTATGGACCGCAGCCTACCCATGGCTCGGAGACCTTGAGGAAGAAGGGACAGAAAGGCGGAGGAGCCAGAGGGTGGAGGATACTGGGAAATGTCTTCCAGACATGGTGTGACTACTACGCTCAAATTCATAGAATCTGTGGCTACCAATACGAAATCAAGACGAGGTTCATTAGTAGATCAGCGGACGACACTGACTGGACTCAGTGGGTTACAGAACCGTGTGTGTGCGTGTGTGTGTGTGTGTGTGTGCGTGCGTGTGTGTGTGCGTGTGTGTGCGTGTGTGTGTGTGTGTGTGTGTGCGTGTGTGTGTGTGTGTGCGTGTGTGCGTGTGTGTGGTGTGTGTGTGTGTGCGTGTGTGTGTGTGTGTGCGTGTGTGTGTGTGTGTGCGTGTGTGTGTGTGCGTGTGTGTGTGTGCGTGCGTGTGTGTGTGTGTGTGCGTGCGTGTGTGTGTGTGTGAAGGGGGTAGTAGATGGGTGTATTACACAGTGTCCAGGGATAGTGGTAGCAGGTAGGGGTGGATCTGATCAATATATACATGTATAAAATTGCCCAAAAATAATGCAGGAGGTGGTGGCACATGCCTTTAATTCCATCACTCAGGAAGCAGAGGCAGGTGAACCTCTGAGTTTGCGGCCAGGCTGATTTACAAAACTAGTTCCAGGACAGCCTGGGAAAAACCCCATCAGGAAAAACTAAATTAACTAATTAATTAATTAAAATTTAAAATTGCCATAGAGTAAATTTTGAAAAGAACATTTGGGGGGCATAAGGCACCACAGTGACAGGGTATTGACAAAAAAACAAACCAAACCTTCCAAGACGGCTCAGCAGGATAGACTCTGGCCACCAAGCTCTAAGGCCTGAGTTCAACCCCTGGGGTGAAAGGAGAGAATGGGCTTCAGCAGTGACTGCACCCACCCTCCCAGATAAACAATCCAGATCGTAATAGTAGTGACAGGCAGTTTTCAACAGTGCTTTGTAGATGGCTCTCCAGGTAAAGGAGCTGTCAAACCTAGGGACCTGAGCATTCTGGGACACCATACCTGAACCCACACACACATACCACATATATACCACGTACACATACACACCACACATACACAACACATAACCTATACCACATATATTTACCACACATACACACACACCCCCAACACACCACACAGAGTACATACACCACACACACACCACATACAACACACACCCACCACACATACGTACACCACACACAACACATATACATACCACACACACCGCTCATATACATACACACGCTCACCACACACACACAATACAATACATGCACACCACACACAACACATACACACCATACACACACAAATTAAAATAAACACAATTTTAAATTGAGAAAAATTCCCAAAAAGCTTCAGAAAACTCTTGAAACAAATTACTGATTTTAGATGTGGAAAGCTCATTTCGAAAATGCTAAAAGCAAAATGGCTCCCATACCCATTTACACATACAATTACAGGCAAAATTAACATTAATTAACACTCTAGCTCTAATGGTTTTGCTAAAAGACCTTGTTTAATAAGCTTTCTATTTAACAAGTATCTGCAAACCCGCTAGGCCTCCTCCTTTGGGAACCTGGGCATCTGTTGGTTTGGCTGCAACCTGTGGTGAACGACTCTGGTCTTACCCACCTTGGATCCGATCTGGTTGCCACACTGGCCAATCTGAATGTGCACGATTTCCCGCATCCTCGCCTTGAACCCAAGGGTCAGTCAGATCTCAGAGTGTGAGAGAGCCTGGATTGTCAGGGAGAGCTGGGTGCAGTTTCTTTCATGGCCCTGATGGGACCAGCCCACCCCAGCTGCTCTCCCAATTGACCTATGGGGGTGTCTGGCTGAAGGCCCCGCCCCAGGCCTTCCCTGTTTTCCACAGTCATGGTGAGAAGGGTGCTTGTCTGTCCTGAGCTCTGCCCAGTCATTTCCTCGATAAGAGTTGGACTGAGGCTTCCTCTGTGTGGAACCTAGAACTAGCGTCTCCCAGACCTGGTCTCAGCAGCCTTGGGCTATGTGGTGTCCCATCCGCGGGTTATGGCTGAATGGCGGGCAGCTGGGAGCCACCCCAAAGGGCTTTCCTTACCTAAGTCATCATTTTGCCTGTCCATGGCATGTCCTACCATCTTCAGCCATGTTGCCTACAGAACAATTTGGGAACCAGCCTCAGCACTGAGGTGACCTTGGGGACAGTGGAACTTTTCCTTCTTAAATTACCAACTCAACAGTCAAAGAGTCCCAGCCTGGCCAGATGGTTCCTCAGGCAAAGGCACTTGCCACCAAGCCGAGTGCAATCCCTGAATCCCGCACAGTGGAGAGAACCGACTCCTTCGAGTTGGCTTCTGACCTCCCTACACGTGCTTTGGGGCAGACACACACGAATCAAGGTAAAATAAACGGGGAAAGTAGCTAGTACTTATTGCAGTAAAATGGTCATAAAATGAAGTTTTTCTTTCCAAACCTGAACAGAACTGAGAAGGAGACCCAAACTTCTTAAGAGTTCAAGAAATTGATGTAGAAGAATGAAAATAGACCCATATCTATCACCATGCACAAAACTCAAGCCCAAATGGATCAAAGACCTCAATATAAAGCCAGTCACACTGAACCTTATAGAAGAGAAAGTGGGAAGTACACTTGAATGCATTGGCAAAGGGAACCACTTCCTAAATATAACCCCAGTAGCACAGACACTAAGAGAAACAATTAATAAATGGGACCTCCTGAAACTGAGAAGCTTCTGTAAAGCAAAGGACAGGGTCAACAAAACAAAACGACAGCCTACAGAATGGGAAAAGATCTTCACCAACCCCACATCAGACAGAGGTCTGATCTCCAAAATATACAAAGAACTCAAGAAATTGGACACCAAAATATCACATAATCCAATAAAAAAATATAGTACAGACCTAAACAGAGAGCTCTCAACAGAGGAATCTAAAATGGCTGAAAGACACTTAAGGAAATGTTCAACATCCCTAGTCATCAGAAAAATGCAAATCAAAACAACTCTGAGATTCCATCTTACACCTGTAAGAGTGGCCAAGATCAAAAACACTGATGACAACTTATGCTGGAGAGGTTGTGGAGAAAAGGGAACACTTCTGCATTGCTGGGGGGAATGCAAGCTGGTACAACCCCTTTGGATGTCAGTGTGGCAATTTCTCAGAAAATTAGGAAACAACCTTCCTCAAGACCCAGTAATACCACTTTTGGGTATAGATCCAAAGGATGCTCAATCATAACACAAGGACATGTGCTCAACTATGTTCATAGCAGCTTTGTTTGTCACAGCCAGAACCTGGAAACAACCTAAATGCTCCTCGATCAAAGAATGGATAAGAAAAATGTGGTATATTTACACAATGGAGTACTACACAGCAGAAAAAAATAACGACAGCTTAAATTTTGCAGGAAAATGGATGGAGCTAGAAAACATTATCTTGAGTGAGGTAACCCAGACATAGAAAGACAATTATCACATGTATTCACTCATAGGTGGTTTTTAGACATAAAGCAAAGAAAACCAGCCTACAAACCACAATCCCAGAGAACTTAGATAACAATGAGGACACTAAGAGAGACTTACATAAATCTAATCTACATGGGAAGTAGACAGTAGAAAAAGACAAGATCTCCTGAGTAAATTGGGAATATGGGGACCTTGGGGGAGAATTGAAGGGAGGAGAGGAGAGGCAGGGAGGGGAGCAGAGAAAAAGTAGAGCTCAATAAATATCAATAAAAAAATAGATGCGTTTCTCCGTATCTTTTATGCATTAACAACAACAGAGGATGCAGAGATGGCTCTGCAGTTACAGAGCTTGTTGCGTGCATGAGAGGACCAGAGTTCAAATCCTCAGAACTCATGGTAAATGCTAGGTGGGTGTGGAAATCCACTTGTAATTCCTGCTTTGTAAGAAACAGATAGGGATTCCAGAGCAAGCTGGTTAGGGAGACCAGCTCAACGGGGGAGCTCTGGGTTAGACTGAGAGACTCTGCCTCAATGTACACGGTAGAACTACAATGGAGAAAGATCCCTGATATTAAAACCAGGCCTCCACATCCAGGTCCATGCATGTGCACCCACACACAGGAAAACATGCATATACATACATGAAACCCCATGCACACGCACATACAAAGGGGGGAAAGGAAAGAAAAACACACACAAGTTTGGTGTGTTGGCACACATCTGCCATCCCATCAACCAGGGAAGCTAAAACAGGAAGATTACCACAAGTTAGAGGCTGACCAGCCTGGGCCACAGAGTGAGGACCTGTCTCAAAAGCAGTAAGAACCAGGGAAGTGGAAGAGCGGGTGAAGGTGCCGTCCATCCATCACGACTGACGACTGAACTCAATCCCCAGAGCCTCAGATGTGGGAAAGAGAAAGCCAGCTCCCACAAATTGTCCTCTGATGTTCACTTACACTGTGGCATGTGTCCCCCAACACGAAATCAATCTATAAAATATAATTAACTGAGTTAGTGCGCACACAGCATCCATCCAGAAGTCAGCACACCCTCTAGACTCCCTCCTTATTCACTCTTAATACCCTCTTGTCTTTGGGACCCTGATGGCTCAGAGCAGCTGGCTTGCCCTCAAAGCCCCACACATCCTTAGGAGCAGAGCGCAGGAGGGTGCAGTGGCCACGGGCAGCTGTTAGCTGATTACAGACGCAGGCTGTATCTCCTGGCCAGTCAGGGGTTGCTAGTCTCATGTTGCTGTTGAGACCCTGAAGTGTCCGAAAGATAGGTTTCCTTAAAATCCTTAACATGAGTGTACCCTTAGCGTGGCTGTAGGGACACGGTGCTCAAGGACACTTCCCTCCACCCTGAGAGGTAGTCTAAGTTGAAGGTGGAAGGTGTTCCAAGAAACCTGATTGTCAAGCACAGCTCGGCAGGGAACAGCCAGCCACAGTGAGCTATTGTGAGAAGCTGTGTCCGTGGTGGCCCTGGCCTCTGTGCAGAAGCCTTGAAAGGGGCCCGTGTGGCTGTGCGCTGCCTTGCTGTGTGGACCTCAAGGCTGGCTCAGGCAAACCCCTTTTGATCTCCATGTGTTCATTCTTCACCGTATGACCAGGCCCCAGTGTGCTTGGGTCCCCCCCAGAGCAGCCCTCTCTTGAGCACATTCCTTTTGGTCATCTCAGTTTGCTCAGGGAGGGGAAAACCTGGCTTCCAGATGGGCCCTTAAAAGGGTTTTCTGTTAATGGGGCAGCTGGCAAAAAGAGAAGGCTTGTTTGCTCCGATTCCTGTATCATCAGCAATGTTTATTCAGTCTCGGCCCAGTGCTCAACTTTGGATGCTGGCTGTAGGGAGGCTAGGGTGGGGGGTAGCTGCTGGGCGGGAGAGGGCTGGCAGGTCCTCAGGACTGCCCCTGAGAGGGGCCCATCTCCTTCTTAGCTGAGAATTTCTTGATCTGCAAAACCAGAGTTAACAGTCTCAAACTCTTAACCTCTTTGGAGCAGGTAGTGCAATGAGATTGACCACAACACCTCAGAGGTGTTCCTGGAGGATGGGGTGCAGCTGTCTGAGTGGATGCCACCTGTGGACGCAACCTCATGGGCATCCCTGGTACTCAGGGTCCAGAGCGCCGAGTTACAGTGCCAGGGATAGGACTGCACACATAGAACATCCGAAGAGCGGAGAGTCTCAGCTCCTTCTTCATGAGGACACCTGTTTTTCCAGAAAGAGAGCTTCTCATGGTGGCTTTGTTAGATGCCAGTGAAGGGGTGATTTATGGCAACATCTCAGGCCAACAGAACTGCCCCATTCAAGATGCGGGTGAGCAGTGTCCCCAGAGAGGACAGCGTCACCCTCAGGTCTGATCTCCCACCAGTCTGAAAGTGACCCCTTAATCCGGAATTGTGGCACGGGATGAAGGGTGGCCCCTGTGCTGAATAACAAAGTCATTCTCTGGCCCCTGGAAAGTGATATGACGAGGGCGGGTTAGCGATGACTGAGCTCCAGTGCACAGCTTCGCCTGGTGTTCTTCTCGGGCACAGAGGACAGAAGCAGGGGGCTCTTTGTAGCATGCAAGGTAAGACACCAAGCAGAAACACCGAGATTCCTGAACAGGGACAGTCAGTCTTTCCCAGGCAACACCTTCCCCTTCGGGCTGCCACAATCAGCAGGCCACAGGAAATTGGTCGGAGCAAACCTTTTCCTGGATGACTCGGGGGGGTCTATTATGGGAATGGAACCAAGAAGATAAGAAAAGGCCAGAGTCACACAGAAGCCCCCAATCAGCCACTTTCAGACTTCCCCCTACCCCGAGCTGTCCCCAGGACTCAGATGGAAACTCCCCTAACTCCCACTCGGCAAATGAAACGTGCTTAGGGCACCTGCTGACTTCACCCACCCCCGATCCTCCACTTGGGAGTCATGGAAGTTCCGTGAAGAACTCAAGAGAAGATTGTTGAATTACAGCGTTTGCTTGTGAATTGGGAGCCAAACACCCTCTTAACATCTTAGCAGGAAAATGACATTGGAGAGGCCATGACTGATGACTTAGTGGGTGTGGGCAGCCCCTCTGATGAGCTGAGCACCGCTCCGGCTGCACCGTGCTTCCCTGCGTGTCTCTAACTCGAAAAGAAAGTTCCAGAGAGGGACTGGAGGATGTGGATGGCTTCCCAGCTCTACCAAGGAGCTTTGCATCTTGCTCCCCTGAAACTGAAGTGCCCGCAGAGCTCACACCATG